ATTGAAATTGGGAAAAAATCGGTTCAGATTTAGATATAGCTCCCATATATATTTTCGTCCGATTTTATGTAAATGGTGCACTAAAGTCCCTATATTTCCTTCGATTTGCACGAAATTTGGCATAGCATTCTGAATTAAGCATATAAGGAAGGAAGTGTGTTAAATTTCCTGAAAATCGGTTCAGATTTAGATATAGTTCCCATATATATTTTCGTTCGGTTTTTTGATAAATAGTGTACCAAAGTCCCTATATTTCCTTCGATTTGCACGAAATTTGTCATAGCATTCTGAATTAAGTCTTAAACGATGTGTGTTAAATTTTGTAAAAATCAGGTCAGATTTAGATATAGCTCCCATATATATTATCGTCAGATTTAAGGTAAATGGCGCACCAAATACCCTATATATTCTTCGATTTGCAATTTGGCATAGCGTACTGAATTGAGTCTAGAACGGTGTGTGCTAAGTTTCGTGAAGATCCGTTCAGATTAAATATACCTTACCTATATATTTCCATTCGATTTTACATAAGTGGTACACCACTCTTCTAATGTTTGTCCGATTAACACGAAATTTTGCGCAACGTATCAAATTGAGACAAATTGCTGATGTATTTCGAACGGGTGTATGATTGAAATTAAATTTTTAACAGTGCGGCGTACCGAATAGCCAGCAAAATTGTGTAAATCGTTTTGCATAAATTTGTCCCATGCTACGCAGACGCTCTAAATCTGCCCGAATGGAATTACATTTATCATAGGTTGCAGAAAGACATGAGTATGTTCCTTCGAGGGAACATTGACATACCATTGTAGGGATACATATGTACAATATACCCAAAGTGGATCATATAGTCGGCCCAGTCCGACTTTACTACTTTCCTTACTGGTTTTCTATTAAGGACCCCCATTCTCGATTTTAAATTTCGAAAATTTGCATACATGTATTCGAGGACATAAAAAAGAGGAAAATAAATTGGCATTTTTTTTTTAATTAAAAAAAATCTTTTTCGACTGCGGTCATGAACGGAACATCCTGGTCTCAAAATTCCAAAGCAATTAGAAAGACTTTAATATTTTATAAGTTATTGTACCCGCCTATTGTTAAATACTGTTTCGAGATAGACAAAAAGTGTTGAGAAACCCGCTCGCTGCCACCTGTCACTTACACTATCTTCTGCAGTTTTTGAAATATTCACTTGATATTTTTTGTTTTGAAACCGATCATTTTTAATAATGTTTATTTATGCAACATTACTTCTGTAATCTTCTCTTGTTGTTTTTTTCTGGTGAAACTTATATTAACATCAATCTTGGGATGGTCCACAATAATTATGTTTTATTCTTTTCTATAATATTTACTCAATGAAAAAATCTACTCCACCATGTTCTACTTAGAAATGCTCGAAGACTTTCGAATTAAATGACAAAACCTAGTGTAGCCTTCGTCCAATGGTCAAGAAGAATATAAACAATTACTAATCAATACAAAAAGCCAATGCCTTTGATTTTAAAGTATACATACATAGTAATAGCACCTTTGACTTTAAAAATAATTAATGAATTTAATTATCGTAAAATGGAGGCACTTTACGTAGAGTTGCCATTTTGCAGAAATTGAATAAAATTGTACGAAAACATATTGATAAAAATTGAGCAAATTTTAAAGACAATTGTTGACCATTTAAAAAAGAAAAAAACATTATTTAAAAAAAAAGTGAAAAATCGTTAAGTTCGGCCGAACTTTGGATACCCTCCACCATAGTTATACTGACAGATACATGCAATGAAAATATAGGGAACATACCAAAAAGTGGGCATATACCGATAATTCTACAAACCGATTTATGTAACCCATTATGTACACCAAATACAAACTTCAGCAATTTTTAATGGGGATTTTTCCTAAAATCTGTAAGATCCAAAAAGTGGACTGATACTGATAATGCATGGTAGAGTATAAAATCCTAAAACTACTGTAATTTTGATTACAAAGTTATATGAGGGTATGCCTAAAGGGGGACCAATATCGGTTACATAGTGTAGGAAATAGTGAATATTTGGGGATATCATTATAAGAGGGATATGCCTAATTAATGAACGGTGTATGCCAATTTTGAACCCAATAGTTTAATTGTTTATCTCAAATATTTCCTTCAGGAGATATCACTATGTTGAGGAGATGCCTTAATGTCTGCTGATATATTTCATTATAGTCATGTTTGAGTTTTTTATCACAATATCTTTAGAAGGCGGAATGCTTACAACAGATGGCTAAATAGTCTTTGTAGGGTAAAAATTTACTATTCCCGTAACGACTACCCAACCGCACCACACGGAACAAATCAGATAACTATTTTAATATAAAGAAGTGAAAAAGCGTTAAGTTCGGCCGGGCCGAACTTTGGATACCCTCCACCAGAGATGGTCCGTCAGAAACAGTGACGTAAATGACCTACATATCCGACGTATAATACATACGTCAGAAACGTCGGAAACCTACTCAAAACCATTAGGGTTTTGACAAAATAGCTGTTTCCTTTAATAAATTATCAAATTACGTATGCTTTACTCAAATCCATATCAAATTTCAAAATTTTCATCTCCAAAAAGTTTGGAATTGTTTATCAGTTCCAGTAAGGAATAGTCAGATATATATAAAAATGATATATATTCTACAAAATACCTATATATGGTAATGATATTCAAATAAATGACGTTTACTACATTTATTACATTTTATACATGTATATGACGTTTTCGACGTTTAGACCTTTTTGACAGTCGAAAACCTAAAAATTCGTCGCACGGACTTGAAATGAAAATATAGGGAACATACAAAAAAATTGACCTATACCGACATATCTACAAACCGATTATGTAAACAATAATTTTAATAGAAAATTATACCCTCAGCCTTATGGCTAATTAGTGTGTATACACTATCACTTTGATACGGTGAAAATGTGCCTCATCGAAATATTGGTTCTAGACCCCATGTTTCTTTGGACCAAATCCGTTTCAGAAAAATTTTATTTTATCCCATCTTATTATGTCTTCCAAACATAGATCAAGTCCAAATTTGGGGAATATCGGTCCATGCCTTCTCGTACCTCCTTCGCAGGTGAAATGATTACAACAGAGTGTTATAACCAAACCCAAAACGCGGAAAAATCCGATAATTATATTAATATAGAAAATGGGGTTATGTAGGGACTACGCCTAAAAGGGGTTGACTATTAATAATTTTTGGTAGGGAGATGTGTTTCCATATACGGCTACAAAATAAAAATTTCAGGGATTTCGGTTGAAAAACGCGCTCAAGAACCTCAAAATGCCGAAATTTGGGGGTACCTTTATATGGGGGCTACCAGAAAAAATTGACTTATATTTATAATTTTTAGTGGAAATATTTGGTACCCAATAAGAACCCAATGTACCAAATTTCAGCGAATTCGGTTGAAAAACGCGCTCAAGGACCCCAAAATACCGACATTTGGGGGGTACCCTTATATGGGGGCTATCAGAAAAAATGGACCTATATTTATAATTTTTAGTGGAGAGATTTGCTACCCAATAAGAACTCAAAGTACTAAATTACAGCCAATTCGGTTGAAAACTACGATCAAAACCCCCAAAATACTGAAAATTAGAGGGTACCGTTATATGGGGGCTACCAGAAAAAGTGGACCTATATTTATAATTTTTTGTGAAGACAGTAAGTACCCAGTAGGAACCTAATGTAGCAAATTTCAGCGAATTCTGTTGAAAAACGCGCTGAAGAACGCCAAAATACTCAAAATTGGGGAGTACCCTTATATGGGGGCTATGCCTAAACGTGGCCCGATAAAGCCCATCTTCGAACTTGACCTGCCTGCAGACAAAAGACGAATATATGCAAAATTTTGGCGATCTATCTCAATTCGTTTAGACGCTAGAGTGATTACAACAGACAGACAGACGGACAATGCTATATCGTCATAGAATTTTACGCTGATCAAGAATATATATACTTTATAGGGTCGGAAATGATTATTTCGATGAGTTACAAACGGAAAAACAAAATTAATATACCCTCCATACTATGGTGGAGGGTATAAAAATGTGTTTAACAATTTACGCACTGGCATCTAAAATTCACTTTTTAAATCCACGCATCTAAAACGTTGGGCAAATGTTGATGTGAAATTAACCAAAAAAATACTGTGATTCTACTAGAACCTATCAAATGTTCTCTAAAAATCCGTGTTAAATATATCTTAGTATCACACAAAATATTCTGAAAAAATTATGCTTATAGCTCGGTTATACCTCCTAAAATATTATTCTTAAAAAATTCAAGCTTAGAAATCTGCATGATCTTTATTTATACATTTCAATTACAGCTCTTCTATACATCTACAAAATATTCTTCCAAAAATCCACACACGTTCTCTTAGACCTTTAAAAATATTCACGCTTATATATATATATATATATATTATATATATATTAATTAAAATTGCACATGGCAACCCTGCACTCTCCACAATGAAACATTGTTTATAACAAAGTTGTATACTAGTAGTGGTTCTTGTTGACGAATTTGAATTGCGTACGTAAATTTTCCAAAATAAATAATCAATACCCAAAAAAAAATCGAAAACACAACAACAACTAAATGTGTTAATAACGCAACAATGCACAACAATTTAAATTGTATGCAAATGCAGTGTAAAATTTTGTTTTTTGTAAACTCTGTACTTTGTAGAATTTAATTAACGCAATGATATACTTTGACTGAACTGTCTGACCGCTTTGTTTAATCGGATATTATAAATATCCAAATATATTAAGCACTAATCAACAGTTAGGAATACACCATCGGATAAGCTGTTCTACATTCGAAAAATATCCGTACGGTGGAAATAGAAATTAAATATCGATTTTTGTTTTTTTAAGTTAAGTTTAAATAAATAAATAGAAATAAACATGGCAGCGGATACTGTGGTTTTGGAAGCAATGGATAATGTCAAGGCCTCTTCGGCGGATTCGGAGACCGTCTTGAGTCCTCTGTGGACTGCTATTTTGGGAATTACTGTGGCTGTAGCCCTTTACGAAATATGGCTAAGGAATACCCGCAAATATAAGTTAACCGCCAATATGCCCACCCCACCAATGTTGCCATTGATTGGTAATGGCCATTTGGTGGCCCATCTGACAAATGCTGGTAGGTTTTGAAAATACAATTAAAAAATTGAAATATATACTAAGGAGTAAATGAGGAATTTGGCCATCGTCTACAGAGTAGATGCAAAGTTTATGCGAAATTTGGTAATCTACAGCAGAGTAGATGCCCAATTTGATCATCTACTGGTCTTAAACTATAGAGTAGTTAACAAATTTGGTCATGAACTATAGATCAGAATCCCAATCTGATCAACTTAAATCTAGTAGATGTCCAATTTGGCCATCTAATCTGGAGTAGATGCCCAATGTGATCATCTACTATAGCGTAGATGTTCTTCACTATAGAGTGTATAACCAATTTGGTCATGGACTGTGGATAAGAAGCCTAATCTGGCCCACTTGGGCCATCTACTGTAAAATAGATATCCACTTTGGACATCTACCGTGGAGTAGATGTAAATTTTTGGCCACCTACTGTACAGTAGATGCCCAAATTAGCCATCTACTGCAGAGTAGTTGGCCAATAAATTATTAAATATCGAAATGAAAATATTTGATTTTTTTGTCATCTCTCACTCTCTCTCTCCCCTTCTTTTACCCCTCTGTAGAAATCCTTGCCCGTGGCATTGGCTATATGCAAACCTATGGCGGTGCTATGCGTGGCTTTTTGGGACCCATGTTGGTTGTCTTCTTGTGGAATGCTCCCGATATCGAATTGATTCTCAGCACCCACACTCATTTGGAAAAATCGATTGAATATCGTTTCTTCAAGCCATGGTTCGGTGATGGTTTACTCATCTCGAATGGTCATCATTGGCAACATCATCGTAAAATGATTGCCCCCACCTTCCATCAAAGCATCCTGAAGAGTTTCATCCCAGCTTTTGTTCAGCACTCTAAGAAAGTGGTAGAACGTATGGGCAAGGAATTGGGTAAGGAATTCGATGTCCATAATTATATGTCCCAGACTACTGTGGAAATTCTGCTCTCAACTGCCATGGGTGTTAAGAAGGTGCCCGAGGACAATAAGAGTTTGGAATACGCCAAGGCTGTGGTCGATATGTGTGATATCATCCACAAGCGTCAACTGAAATTCTTCTACCGCATGGATGCTCTATACAATTTGAGCAGCATGAGCGAGAAGGGTAAGAAAATGATGGACATTATTTTGGGTATGACACGTAAGGTTGTCACCGAACGTCAGGAGAATTTCAATGCTGAATCTCGTGCCATTGTTGAGGAAGATGATGAAATCAGCAAACAAAAACAACAAGCCAAGAAGAAGGAGGGTCTCCGCGATGATTTGGATGACATTGATGAAAATGATGTTGGTAAGTGGATAGCTAACAAAATAATAACTTCTTCGAAAAAACCCTTTAATTTGTATCCTCATTTCTAGGTGCCAAGAAACGCCTTGCCTTACTGGATGCCATGATGGCCATGTCCAAGAACCCCGAAGTTGAATGGACCGATAAGGATGTCATGGATGAAGTCAACACAATTATGTTTGAGGGTCACGACACCACCTCGGCCGGTTCCAGCTTTGTCCTCTGCATGTTGGGCATCTACAAGGACATCCAAGAGAAAGTCTTGGCCGAACAAAAAGCCATTTTCGGTGAAAACTTTTTGCGTGACTGTACCTTTGCCGATACCATGGAAATGAAATATTTGGAACGTGTCATTATGGAAACTCTGCGTTTGTATCCACCAGTACCAATGATTGCTCGTCGCACAGAATTCGATGTTAAGCTGGCATCTGGTCCCTATACTGTTCCCAAGGGCACAACTGTGGTCATTGCCCAATTTGCCGTACACCGTAATCCCAGATACTTCCCCAATCCCGAAAAATTCGATCCCGACAATTTCTTACCAGAGCGTATGGCCAACCGTCACTACTACAGTTTCATTCCATTCAGTGCTGGTCCCAGAAGTTGTGTCGGCCGTAAATATGCCATGTTGAAACTGAAGGTCCTGTTGTCCACCATCATTCGTAACTATTCCGTTCACAGCAGCCAACAAGAAAAGGACTTCAAATTACAGGCTGATATTATTTTGAAGATTGAGAATGGTTTCAATGTTTTGTTGGAACGACGACCAGAAGCCATGAAAGCTATGTAAACATTATGATTAAGAGTAAAAATAACGACCTACTGTTGTGTATGTGGTTCCAATTTCATTACATTAAGACATCTCATAACTTACTAACTAACCCTCCCCCTGCATTATACCAAAAATATATTGTTACTAACCCGTAAAAGAAAACCAATCCATTTTAAGAAGTTGTATAAAGTTATTGTTTAAAGAAAAAGTAAACACGAAAATCTAACAAAAAATATTATAATAAAGTGCATGCCAGTTTAAAACTGTAAATGTGGAGAGTGTTTTCTTCTTAATGGGTGCCGTTTTGCAGGTCTGCTGGTATTTTAATAATCTAAAAAGCACACTCAGAAATTATTCTTCAACACTCGTGGGTAAAAATGGCTATCATAGGCCTTAAAATATTTTTTATAGAATCCACAATTTCATATACTCTCTCTCCGGTAATTTGAAGCGTTCAGGGAACTCTCTAACGCAAAATGCTGAAAACTGATTTCCAAATGAAGTAGCAGTAATTTGACATTTAGAGTTCTCAATTGGCAATATAATTCCTTGTAGGAAAAAATATAACAAATGCTTTGACATAGCCCCCAGTATAAGGTCTCTATTATATGTAATTCTAGTAGTAATTTTGAATATCCTAATCCCATTGGAGACCCATGTGTTGTAATTGCACTATTTATGTAGTATGAGCTTATTAACAAAGGCAACAAGTCCCAAGCGTAAGTAGTATTAGACTATTGTAATAACCGCCGACTTTCCATTAACTCCATTGTGATTATAGGAGGTGATGCAAATGTGGTATACCCATTTGTTTATTGGGTTTTTGGAAATTCGAACTAGAAGGGTACGAAAAGTACCTAAATGTACTAAATATGGTACAATTTGTATTAGGCGAACGAGAAGAGCTAGAATTCTGAAATTTGGAATGTGGGTCACTGATGGAATGTTAGAAAGGTGTACAAAAGGGTTTTTGGAAATTCGACCTATAAGTGTACGAAAAGCACTAAACTTTACTATATTTAGTTCTAGTTGTATATATATTCAACATATAAAGCAAAAACCTTAAAATTCTATATGGAAAACAGGTTGGGAAGTGGTGTTGATAAAGTGGCTCCATCGTATAATCGGACAAAAGTTTTTCTAATATAAATGTATTTTGAACTTTAAAAAAAGTCTTAAACATATAGGGTAAGTGCACCAATAGTCGGCACTTTAAGAATTTTCGCTTCTTAAACGTTTCACCATTCCAAGTGCATCTTTTCCACGATATTGTATTTAGATTCATCTGTTTCGAAATTTTTTTTACTCCCCGATGGAATACAAATTTGTTTAATTAACTTGTATTAAAAAAGTTTCAGAGGATAAAAATATTTGAGATTAAAATCGTGTCTTCTAATATATAAAACACTCAAAACTAATTTTTTATAAGATAATCGTTATTTAGAGGACTTATTTAAATTTTTTTTCCATTTTGAGCCAAAATGATCGAAAAGGTGCTTATTATTCACTCATGTGCCGACTATAGGAAAACCTTAAAATTTGTTGTTCCTAAGGTCGGCATCGATAAAAATATCATTATTATAAAGTAATATCATTATATAAAGTAAGTAATTTTCATATAATTATTTATAGGATTTTGTAGTTATTTGAATTTATATAAACCAGATGCCGACTATTGGTACATGCCGCAATTAGGTGCGTTTACCCTATTTTCTTTTGCATTTATTTCGACTTCACATACATAACTCTCCGAACAGAAAAAAACAACAACATTTCTAACGATAACTGTAAATATCAGTAGAAAAACAAAAATAACTCAATTTCTTGGGCTCAACGCATAATCGTACAAAGCAACATATCAATGCTAAAAGTCCCGTTATTATGCAAATATGTACTTTAAATCTGTATTTTGTTTGTCATATTCATTCGTAAATTGCATTTAGATCAAGAAAGTGGTAATACTAAATAAAAATAAATTTAAATGGCTCCAAAAGGGAAACAATCCAGTGTGGAAATCAGGCAATTGAATAAATTGAATTATGACGGTAAAACAGTAAGAGAAATTGCCGAATTGGTAGGAATGAGTAAATCTACTGTCCACGATTGACCATTAAAGCAGAGAAGGTCAAGGGAAGATATTAAATGAGCGAGAAGAGCGTTCGATATTAAAAGAAATAAAACAATATCCATTTAAAACCGCAAAAGAACTTAAAATAAATTTCGCAGTTCGCAATACATTACATAAATATGATTATTATGGGAGAGTTGCAAGAAAAAAGCCATTTATAAGCCTTAAAAATATAAACAGTAGAATAAAATATGCCAAGGAGTATTTACTAAAACCAAAAGATTTTTGGAAGCAGGTAATTTGATGATAGATCATCTTAAAATACATTTCTATTGATAGTTTTCATTATATTAAGGTTCTGTTTACTGACGAAAGCAAATTTAATTTGCACGGATCAGATGGAAAGATGTATGTGTGGCGTAAGCCAAATGCTGAATTTAATCATAAGAATACAAAAGCCACTGTTAAGCACGGAGGAGGTTCTGTTATGGTTTGGGGCTGCATGTCGAGTGCGGGAGTAGGCAATTTGCATTTTATTGATGGTAAAATGGACAAATCTGTCTACCTCAACATTTTAAAATAAAATGTAAAGCAAAGTGCAGACAAATTGGGTATCGCGAACAACTTTGCCTTTTATCAAGATAACGATCCGAAGCACACATCAGGTTTTGCAAAGCTTTGGTTGATCCATAACTGCCCCAAACTTTTACAAACACCTGCACAGAGCCCAGACCTTAACGTAATTGAGCATCTTTGGGAAGAATTAGCTAGGAGAGTGTATGAAAAAAATTTAACTCCTTAGTACAGCTTAAGGAGGCTTTACTGGAATCGTGGAACTCCATAGAGCCGGAGATATGCCAGAATTTGGTCAAATCAATAGCGAAGCGTTTATAGGCCGTTCTGGAAAACAAAGGATATGCAACTAAATATTAATTTCTCGATTTTTTGCATTTTTTAACATTGATACTTTGCTTTGTCCGATTTTGCGTTGAACACAATAAATTGAGTTATTTTTGTTTTTCTGGCGAAATTTACTGTTATCACTAGGAAAGTTGTTGTTTTGTTGTATTGTTCAGAAATATATGTAAGTAATGTGTAAATAAAAGCGAAAAAAACTACACATTTAGACAATTTTTTTGAAATGTATAGTATTATTATATCAGACAACCACTTGTCCGATTATTCGATGGAGCCACTGTATATGAAAATGGTTTAAGAAATTCGTACTTATGTGTATAGAAAGTACAAAATGGTACTAAATTTGGTACTATTTGCATTTAGTTGAGTGTATAGAGATGTAATCCTGAAAATAAGAAAATATCGTACTTATGTGTACGAAAAGTACTAAATGGTACTAAATTTGGTGTAAATTGGATTAAAGTGAACAGATAGAGGTGAAGTCTTCAAATTGGGGATTAAAATTACTGTTGAGGTAGTTTAGGAAATTTGTACTTATTGATACGAAAAGTACTAAACAGTAGTACAATTGGTACAATTTGGATTTTGTTTGGATGAATAGAGCTGAAAACTTAAAATTTTGAATTATGATTACTGTTGAAAATTGAGCTATAGAGACATCTTTGGATATTCGTATTTATGTGTACGAAAAGTACTAAACGGCACTAGATTTGGTACAATTTGGAATTGGGTGAACGGAGAGAGAGAGAGAGCTGGAAACCTAGAATTTAAATTAATGGTTGCTGTTGGAATATAGAATTGAGATATGGAAGCATAGTACTTATGTGTAGTAAATGTACTATATTTGGTACAACATGATTATGCGTGATCGGATAGAGCTGGACTCTAGAATTTTGAAATTAAAATTACTGTTGGAGTGTAGGATTGAGGTAGTTTAGGAAATTCTTAATTAAAGAAACAAAAAATGCTAAATGGTACCAAACAGTTTACAAATTGTTTTGGCTGAGATCCTAAAATTTTAATTTAAAATTACAGTTGGAGTACAGGATTGAGATATTTCGTTAGTTTAGAAAATTCGTAAGTATGTGTACAGAATGGTACTAAATTTTGGTACAATTTAGATTTGAGTGAACGGATAGAGATGGAAAACTTAAATCTGGAATGAAAATTACAGGATTAAGGTAGTATTTGAATTTCGTTCTTTTGAATACGACAACTAAAGTTACTAAATATGGTACAATTCGTTTTGTGTGAGCGGTAAACCTAAAATTTGGAATTTAAATTAAGGTTGGAGTAGAGGCTTGAGACATGGAGGTAATTCTGAACGGCTAGAACTGGAATTCTGAATTGATTGAGATAGTTTTGTAATATGGGTACGAAAAGTACTGAGTGGTACAAAATCTGGTACAATTTGGGTTTTTGGGGAACAGATAGAGCTGGAATTTTTAAATTTGGCCTTACGATTACTATTTGAGAGCAGGAAAGGACATTTTATTATTTAAAGATTATATATCAAATAGGAAGCAGTGAAGTTACATGGGTAATATACATTTTGGAATTAGGTCCCCTATTACTATACCCTTCACCACACTGTGGTACAGGGTATTATGTCTTTGTGCATCTGTTTGTAACAGGCAAACGGAATCGAGATAGACCCATAGTTCCCTTTTGAGAATATGCATTGAATCACTTTCTGAGTCGATTTATGCATGTCCGCCGATCCGTCCATGTATTTTTGTGAACAAAGTACATGATGGAGAAAATCGGTTCAGATTTAAATATGCTCCCATATAAAGTTTCGTCCAATTTTTTGTAAATGGTGCACCAAACTCCCAATATTGGTGAGATAAAATTTTGTACAGAGTACTTAATTAGGTCCAGATTGATGTATGCGAAGTTTTGTTGAAATCGGTTCAGAATAAGATATAGCTCCCATATATAGTTTCGTCCGATTTTATGTAAATGGAACACCATACTGCCAATATTGGTCCGAGTGTGACAAAATTTAGCACAGAGTACTGAATTAGGTCCAGATTTATGTATGCGAAGTTTTGTTGAAATCGGTTCAGATCCAATATATAGAGTCGTACGATTTTTTGATTGAGACGAAATTTTGCACAGAGTAGTGAATTACGTCTTGTTTGTTATATGCCAAGATTTGTTCAAATCTGTTCAGATTTTATGCAAATGATGCCCCAAACTCCTAATATTGGTCCGATTGAGACAAAATTTTGAAAAGTGTACTGAACTAGGTCCAGATTGATGTATGCGAAGTTTGTCCGATTGAGACAAACTTTTGCATAGAGTATTAAAGTTACTACAGGTTGATATCCGTGAAGTTTTGTTGAAATAGGTTCGGATTTTAATATAGCCCACATATATACTTTAGTCCCATTTTATGTAAATTGTGCACCATAGATCCCGTTCTATTTGCACCATATTTATACCCTTCACCACACTGTGGTACAGGGTATTATGTGTTTGTGCATATGTTTGTAACAGGCAAAAGGAATCGAGATAGACCCATGGTTCCTTTTGAGAATATGCATAGAATCACTTTCTGAGTCGATTTACGCATGTCCGTCTGTCCATGTATTTTTGTTAACAAAGTACAGGTCGCATTTATGATCCGATTTGGATGAAATTTGGCACAGTTCACTTATTTGGCCCAAGGACGAACCCTATTGAAATTGGAGAAAATCGGTTCAGATTTAGATATAGCCTTACATATATAGTTTCGCCCGATTTAATGTAAATGGTGTACCAAAGTCCCTATATGTCCTTCGATTTGCACGAAATTTGGCATTGCGTACTGGAATGAGTCTAGAATGATGTGTGTAAAATTTCATGAAAATCGGTTCAGATTTAGATATAGCTACCATATATAGTTTCGGCCGATTTTAGGTAAAAGGTGCACAATAGTCGCTGAAAATGATTTGATTTGCACGAATTTTGACATAGCGTATTGAATTAAGTCTAGAATATCTTGTGCCAAGTTTCGAAAAAATCGGTTCAGATTTAGATATAGCTCCCATATATAGTAACGCCCGATTTTGGGTAAATGGTGTACCAAAGTCCCTACATATCTTTCGATTTGCACGAAATTTGGTATAGCCTACTGAATTAGGTCTAGAATGATGTGTGCTAAGTTTCGTGAAAATTGGTCCAGATTTAGATATAGCTCCCATATATAGTTGCGGCCGATTTTAGGTAAATGGTGTAACAAAGTCCATATATGCCTTTCGATTTGCACGAAATTTGGTATAGCCTACTGAATTAGGCCTAGAAAGATGTGTGCTAATTTTCGTGGAAATCGGTTCAGATTTTGATATAGCGCCCATATGTAGGTTCGTCCGTTTTAAGGTAAATGGTGTACCAAAGTCCCTATATATCTTTCGATTTGCACGAAATTTGGTATTGCCTACTGAATTAGATCTAGAATGACGTGTGCTAAGTTTCGTGAAAATCGGTTTATATTTAGATATAGCTTCCATATATAGTTTCGCCCGATTTTAGGTAAATGGTGCACCAAAGTCCCTGCAAATCTTTTGATTAGCAAGAATATTGGCATAGCGTACTAAATTAAGTCTAGAATGACGTGATGGTTTTAAGCAAATTGTACACTAAAGATCCATACCATAGTTCGATTGACTATGGCATGGATCTCTGGTAGGTTTGCTTGAAATAGGTTCAGATATAGATATAACTTAGCTTCCATATATAATTTCGATTTATTTATGTTAATTGTACGCCAAATATTCAATGGGTGTCTGATTGAGATTAAATTTTAAACAGTACAGCGACGTCTTTGCGAATACATATGTAAAATATACCCAAAGTGGTGAAGGGTATCATATAGTCGGCCCAGTCCGACTTTACTACTTTCCTTACTGGTTTTTGTTGAAATCGGTTCAGATGTAGATATAGTTCCCACATATATTTGTGCGATTTTATGCAAATGGAGGAGCCTATGTCTGTTCTCTTTACATGAAATATAGCATGGCGTATTGGATTAAAGCAGTTGAAAGTTTAGATATAGTTTCCAAATATATTTTCATCCCATGTCAGTAAATGGTGTACCAAATATCTGAAGTTTTTCCGATTAGGACGAATTAGTGCATAACGTACCAAATGGAACCTACAATAATGTGTATTGGATTTTGTGTCGAGATAAATTTTGATTAGCGTCTTTGCTGCAGCATGCGGTTGCTCAAATACGTCCATTTATAGAGATCACCATACATATTTTGCTCGATTACATCTCTTGTATGTACCCAAAGTGGTGAAGGGTATCATATAGTAGGCCCCGTCCGACTGTTGAACTTTCCTTACTGGTTTTTGATCTACCATAATGTTATACAATATTTATCCCTTTGACGACAAGGTTATAATGCTAATGCAAATCTAATGCTAAGTATTTAAATGTTGTCATTTGCCTCAATAATGCCACTTGGTCGCTGTGCTAAAATATATTAAGGGGTTAGCATATACCAATAAATTAGCATATAATAATTATATTGCAGTCATTAAATTTTATTCAACCATATGTTCCAAATATCACTAAAATCTTCTTAAAAATTCACTCCCACAGCCCCTAAAAATCAGCCCTGAAGGTATTTGGGTTTTTATATTTTAAATATCTCGTACATGGTACTTACAAATATCCATCTTTGTAGTTTTGATTATCCATGAATGGCAATTTTTAACAATTTACCTCTGCAGCTCTATAATTTGGGAATCCACGTTTAATATCTACCGGTGCCTTAAAAAGGCCTCTGTATTAAAAAATCTTCGCTTCAACTGTGACTTTACACCTATGACGGTTCTAATAAAAATATTCTTAAGAAAGATCCATTTTTACAAGAAACCACAAAATAAATTTTGAAATAAAAAATCGACAACATTTTCCAATAAATTTTGTCGTAATTGCATGTTTTGTAATATTAAAATAGTTCAATTATTGAATTTATTCAATACAATTACAAATTATTTTCTAACATTTTGGATACATTTTAGAAATGATTTGCAAAATGTCATGTATTTTTCTTTGCCATAGTCTATTTTGTTTTACTTGAGGAAGTCTAAAAATTGCAATGAATATTATGTACTTGTGTAACAATTTGTTTTAATGTTAATTAATACAAATTTATGTAATAATACAGTTGACGTTGTATTATAGGACAGAAAAAAATTCAACGCAATTGCATTTTCTTATGACAACAAATTGGATAAATTAAGGCCAAACAATTCAATAGTTTGTTTTTTTGGAAAATTACAGCTATCCAGACCCAACTGTATTTCACTGACCTGTAAACTTTGTCTACATGTAGGAAATTTAATTAAGCTACATATGTAATTCTTCTGTTTAATTTCGGAATATATTAGGCCCATCCAATTTTGGTCTTAATTAACAGTATGCAATACACCATTCGATAAGTTGTTCTTATATCGCAAAGTGCAAGAAGTGCATATCAGAAAGTGAAAATTGAATACCTGTCTGAAAAATATATTTGGAGCAAGGATATAAAGTACTATTGACGAAAAATGTCAACTTTAACAGAAACAGTAACCGAGTCGGGCTTCGGGATGTGGACTGTAGTTGTGGGTATATCGTTGGCAATAGCCTTGTACGAAATATGGCGAAGGAATACACGAGAATATAAGTTAACTGCAAATATGTTGACTCCTCCAATGATGCCGCTAATTGGAAATGGTCATTTGGTGATGCATTTGTCGAATTCAGGTAAGTGATCCACGCTTGGTAATGGTCCTTGAAAAAATATTCTTTAAAAAATCCACGCTTGGTAATGGTCCTTGAAAAAATATTCTTTAAAAAATCCACGCTTGGTAATGGTCCTTGAAAAAATATTCTTTAAAAAATCCACGCTTGGTAATGGTCCTTGAAAAAATATTCTTTAAAAAAATCCACGCTTGGTAATGGTCCTTGAAAAAATATTCTTTAAAAAATCCACGCTTGGTAATGGTCCTTGAAAAAATATTCTTTAAAAAATCCACGCTTGGTAATGGTCCTTGAAAAAATATTCTTTAAAAAATCCACGCTTGGTAATGGTCCTTGAAAAAATATTCTTTAAAAAATCCACGCTTGGTAATGGTCCTTGAAAAAATATTCTTTAAAAAATCCACTCCTGGTAATGGTCCTTGAAAAAATATTCTTTAAAAAATCCACGCCTGGTAATGGTCCTAGAAAAAATATTCTTTAAAAAATCCACGCCTGATAATGGACCTTGAAAAAATACTCTTTAAAAAATCCACGCCTGGTAATGGTCCTTGAAAAAATCCACGCCTGGTAATGGTCCTAGAAAAAATATTCTTTAAAAAATCCAATCCTGGTAATGGTCCTTTAATAAATATTGTTCAAAAAAATCCACGCCTGTTAATGGTCCTTGAAAAAATATTCTTTAAAAAATACACGCCTGGTCCATTTCTGTTTCTTATTTCAGAAATCATGGCCTATGCAATGCGCTACATACACACACCGAATGGTGTGGTAAGAGCATTTTTGGGGCCATTAATGATTGTTGCTCTCTGGAATCCTGTCGACATTGAAATAGTTCTCAGTTCGAATGACCACCTGGAAAAATCACCCGAATATAAATATTTCCAACCATGGTTTGGTGATGGCCTACTTATCTCCAAGGGTCATCATTGGCAGCATCATCGCAAAATGATTGCCCCTACCTTCCATCAAAGTATTTTGAAAAGTTTCGTACCCACCTTTGTGGAACATTCCAAGAGGGTGGTGGAACGGTTGTCACACGAAGTGGGCCATGAATTTGATGCTCACAAATATATGTCTCAGGCAACTGTGGAAATATTACTGGCCACTGTTATGGGTGTAAAGAAGCTACCCAAACCGGATAAATGTTTGGAATACGCCAATGCGGTGTTGGATATGTGTGACATAATTCATAAACGTCAGCTGAAATTCTATTATCGTCTGGATGCTATGTTCAAATTTTCGAAATTACATGATAAGGGTCGGAAAATGTTGGATACCATTTTGAATATGACACGACAGGTTGTAAATGAGCGGCAAAGAAATTTCAATGCCGATTCGAGGGCTATTGTGGAAAATGATACCGAGGTTACCAAGAGAAAACAAGAAACTATAAAAGCCAAGGGACTGCGTGATGATTTGGATGACATCGATGAGAATGATGTGGGTGAGTTCAATTCTTACATATGAACCCTTTTTGGCCAACTAAGTCCTAATTGAAATCGATTTTCCATAGGTTCCAAAAAACGTTTGGCCTTATTGGATGCCATGATGGAAATGTCCAAAAATCCTGAAATCCAATGGACCGACAAGGATATCATAGATGAAGTCAATACAATTATGTTTGAGGTAGGTGTCATTATTTCACAGTTGATGTAAAGAAACTAAAAATTCCCTTTTCCAACAGGGTCATGATACCACCTCGGCTGCCTCCAGTTTTGTCCTATGTATTTTGGGTATTTACAAGGACATGCAGGAAAAAGTGCTGGACGAACAAAAAGCCATCTTCGGTGATAATTTGCTACGCGATTGCACATTTCCCGATACAATGGAAATGAAATATTTGGAGAGGGTAATAATGGAAACTCTGCGTTTATATCCACCAGTACCGATTATATCACGTCGAGCTGCAGATGATATTAAATTGGCATCAGGACCATATTCAATACCCAAGGGTACAACAATACTTATTGCACAATATGCCGTACATCGTGATCCCAAATCATATCCTAATCCAGAAAAATTCGATCCTGACAACTTTTTGCCCGAACGTATGGCCAAACGTCATTATTATAGTTTTATACCATTCAGTGCCGGTCCCAGAAGTTGTGTAGGACGTAAATATGCCATGATCAAATTGAAAATATTGCTATCGACAATTCTGCGTCACTTTGAGGTGAAATGTAATCAGCAGGAGAAAGATTTTCGTTTACAGGCTGATATTATTTTGAAAATGGAAAATGGTTTTAACATAACGTTGGAACCACGTGCCGAGGCTATGAAGTAAGGGTATTTACGTTTAAGAGGAATTTAAATATGTATAACTATCGATTCTATGTGATTTTAGTAAATTAAGATAAATATTTTTTGATTTTAGTGGAGGTATATTTTCACGAAAGTTAATAAATACAAATATTGAAGAGAAAACAAACACAATTTTTTCAAGATTTGGAATTTTTGGGGAGTCTGGAAATGGTCCTTGAAAAAATATTCTTTAAAATTCTACGACTGATAATGGGGCTAGAAAAAAATATTTTTTCAAAACCCACGTCTGGTAATGGTCCTTACCCACATGTTCTTCTCTTCTAATTTCTGAAATCTGATCTATACAATGCAAAAATAGAATATTCAAAAATAAAATAAATTTTAATATAGTCAATATATGTCAATCCCATGAAAGTAAAAGCTGAGGTGATGTCGAACCAGAACTAATTTGATATGTTACTAATTTCTCTACCATGTAGTACATATATAAAATAAATTCTAATGTGCTTTAAATTTCGTAGACCTTTAAGGCAAAATATTAAACAACAAAGTCCGTCATATAATATTAGCATGCATTTCATCGATGTTATAATCTTCCGCAATTCCGACATTAATATTTAAATGCAATGACTGAGCTAGATTAGTGTATTACCATAATGTGCATAATATTGAATAAATGTGAACATAATACCCTAAATCGTCAAATTTTTTAAGGATCAATAACAGGCGTGGAGTTTTTAAAGAATATTTAACAGGCGTGGATTTTTTAAAGAATACTTTTTCAAGGATCATTAACAGGCGTGGATTTTTTAAAGAATATTTTTTCAAGGACCATTTCCAGGCGTGAATTTAACATTAACAGGCGTGGATTTTTTAAAGAATATTTTTTCAAGGATCATTAACAGGCGTGGATTTTTTAAAGAATATTTTTTCAAGGATCATTAACAGGCGTGGATTTTTTAAAGAATATTTTTTCAAGGATCATTAACAGGCGTGGATTTTTTAAAGAATATTTTTTCAAGGATCATTAACAGGCGTGGATTTTTTAAAGAATATTTTTTCAAGGATCATTAACAGGCGTGGATTTTTTAAAGAATATTTTTTCAAGGATCATTAAGGCGTGGATTTTTTAAAGAATATTTTTTCAAGGATCATTAAGGCGTGGATTTTTTAAAGAATATTTTTTCAAGGATCATTAAGGCGTGGATTTTTTAAAGAATATTTTTTCAAGGATCATTAAGGCGTGGATTTTTTAAAGAATATTTTTTCAAGGATAATTAAGGCGTGGATTTTTTAAAGAATATTTTTTCAAGGATCATTAAGGCGTGGATTTTTTAAAGAATATTTTTTCAAGGATCATTAAGGCGTGGATTTTTTAAAGAATATTTTTTCAAGGATCATTAAGGCGTGGATTTTTTAAAGAATATTTTTTCAAGGATCATTAAGGCGTGGATTTTTTAAAGAATATTTTTTCAAGGATCATT